GCGCCGTTCTAATCCTGGCAGCTTCACTTCCCATCCAGCTCCCTGCTTGTGCCCTGGGAAAGCAGTCGAGGACGGCCCAAAGCCTTGGGGCTCTGCACCCGTGTGGGAGACCCGGAAGAAATTCCTGGATCCTGGCTTCGGGTCAGCATAGCATCAGCCATTGCACTCACTTGGGGAGTAAATCATTGGACGGAAGATCTCCTGTCTCTCCTCCTCTCTATATATCTGACTTTCCAATAAATAAATAAATCTTAAAAAAAGATTATTTGATTAGTTGTGCCAATCCAAAGCCAGGAGTCTGGATCCTCTCCTTATTTCCCTTGGGGGTGCAGGGTCCTAAGACTTTGGGCCATCCTCAGCTGCTTTCCCAGGCCACAGGCAGGGAGCTGGATGGGAAGTAGGGCTGCCTGGGGTAGAACTGGCACTTATATGGGATCCCGGGGCGTGAAAGGTGAGGACTTTAGCCGATAGGCCACAGCGCTGACCCAGTTTAAGTCATGTGTTCACTGTAGAGCTAGGCCGGGGCTGGGGTGTCTGCAGCCCCCTCGCAGAGCATTTTCTTGGGGGACCAGAGTTCTGTTGCCTCTTGGTTTGTTTTTAACATTTAATTGTCTTTTTGGAAGGCAGAATTACAGAGTGAGGAATAAAAAGAGAGCCAGTCAGTCTGCTGGTTCATTCCTCAGATGACCTCGGGCTGGGGCTGGGTCAGGAGCCTCGCACTCCATTCAGTTCTTCCCAGTGTAAAGGCCTCCTTCCCAAGTGCACCACTAGGGACCTGGGTCAGAAGAGGGCCACTGAGGCCCAAACTACACCTGTATGGGACGCCCTCCTGGGCTGCAACAATGGCGCCTTGCCTCTGTGTCTTGTTTTGTGAATGTTATGGATTTCTTTTTCTTCTTCTTCTACTTGTTGTTATCATCATCATCGTCGTCGTCTTTTTATGATGGGATTTACCTTGGGATTTACCTTATCTCCACCTTAAGTCCCTCTTCCCCACTGAGTTCCCCTATGTTGTTAGTATAGTATTGTTCTTCATAAATAGGCATATGTCTATCATTGTGGCATGGACAATGGCGGAGAGTCCAGCATCCTATTGTCAAGATATAGTTAACAGTTTCATTTGGAGTCCATCTTTACTCCGGAAGTAGAGATGCACACTGCAATGCATCCTTACATTTGGACATGTTAATCTCCATTACACAGTCACCACACATCCCTTTAAATGAGAAGCCAAAATACAAAAATTAACAAAAAAAAGAAAAATAGAAATTTACTGCGCCATCAAGTTCTCAAGAGGTTTTGATAGTTCAATAGTCCTGAATTGCTGACAATCCCGTCACTCTGATCACGATGAAATCTCTCGAGAATCTCCTGGCTTCAATGGTCCACCTTAGAGTCTGCCCAGATATTCACCACCAATACTTGGTTGGAGTGGTTGATTAAGTTGTTCTGCCCTCTGTCTTCTGCCATGGTACCAGGTATCCTCTGGACGCCCCAATGTACTGCTGTATCCTCCATGTGCATTTGGATATGCTTTCCAGTGCTCCATCTGAGCCACTGAGGAGGCCCATTCTGACACATGCACTCTATGTTCAGACCATGGAAACTGTAATTCTCTCCATGGTTGGGGTTCAGTTGGTAGGGAGTTGCCAAAGAAACCTCATCTGAGGCCATCCCAGACCTGATTCTTGTATGTGCTTGCTAATACGGGGTCTGACACAGTTTGTCACCCAAATCAGCCTACGCACACAATGGTAGTTGTAATTGTTGGGTCAGTTCTATCTCCGGTCCCATGTTTTACATAAACCATACGATGTTGATGTGCAGCCCAATCCTACCCACCACATACTTGGCCTTCACGCAAACCGATGGGAGCTGCAGTCTAGTCTAAGTGACCCACAATAACTCCCACCAGGCCCACTGCCTACCCTGGTTCCAGTGTTTGCCAGCACATACAGTTGACTGGTCCCGTCTGACATATATCCCATTTAGCTGTCATACATGTCAATAGGCATTGAAGCTCAGTTCATCCTAACCAGCTTTACTATCCAGTCCACACTGGTGCCAGCAGGTGCCACCATCTGTCTGAGCTATGCCTGCAAGAGACAGAATTTATCCCCCGTGCCAGTATCTGCCAGCTGACTGTGTCAAAGCCCAACCCCCCACACCCACTCTCACTTATGCATGTACCAGAAGGTACAGTCAGCCCAGCCTGGCCTTTCCCTGATCCAGCTCACATGTAGGCCGTCAGATGTGGTGGCCCTGCCCGGCCTGCTTTGTCCTCATCTCAGCTCTCATGCTCACCAGAGGGAGTAGTGGCCCAATAGGGGGTCCCTCGCAGCCCACCTCTTGGGCCATCCCCACCAACTCTGGGTTTTACATGTGCTGGTTGGGTGCTGCAGCCCAGTCTGGCACAGCCTGCCTCACTTTGGTATTTGCCAGTGGGTGTTATAGTCTGGCTGGACCTGGCCCACCCCAATTTCAGCTTACGCTGATGAGGGCTACAGCCTAGCCCAGCCCTGCCAGTCCCCAGTCCCAGCCCTAATGTGGACTGACTGGTATTGCATCCCAACCCATACTGCATTCTGTTGCTCAGATTCTCTAGTGAGTGATGTGAACTGACCCATCCTGGCCTGCTCCAAACTACACTAAGTGTATGCTGGTGGGTATTTTGGCCTTGTCTGGGCTGCTCCCGGTCCTGGTTCTTGCATTCACCTGCAGGGAGTGTGTCCTGACAAGAGTTACCGAAGCTCTTCAACCAGGTTTATTCCCATCTACAGATCCCTCACGTGCCAATGGTTGCTCTGACCTAGCCTGGTAAAGGACTTTATCCATCTTTTTTTTTTTTTTTTAAGATTTATTTGTTTTTTGGTTTTTATTTTTTTACAAAGTCAGATATACAGAGAGGAAGAAGAGACAGAGAAGAAGATCTTCCATCTGATGATTCACTCCCCAAGCGAGCGCGACAGCTGGAGCTGAGCCAATCCGAAGCCAGGAGCCAGGAGCTCTTCCGGGTTTCCACATCAGTGCAGGGTCCCAAGGCCCAAAGAAAAAAGAAATGGAGATACAGAGCTTCATCCACTTGGTTCACTCCCCAAATAGCGGCAATAGCCAAGGCTCAGCCAGGCAGTTGCCAAGAGCCAACAGCTTCCTCCAAGTCTCCAATAGGCATAGGACCCCAAGTACTTGGGTTATCTTCCATTGCTTGCCAAGACACATTAGCAGGGAGGTAGATCAGAAGTGGAGCAGCCAGAACTCAAACTGGTTGACCATACAGAATACTGGCATCGCAGGCAATGTGTGTTTTTTTTTTTAAAGATTTATATTTTATTACAAAGTCAGATAAACCGAGAGGAGGAGAGGCAGAGAGGAAGATCCTCCATCCGATGTTTCATTCCCCAAGTGACCACAATGGCCGGTACTGTGCCGATCTGAAGCTGGGAACCAGGAACCTCTTCCAGGTCTCCCACGCGGGTGCAGGGTCCCAAGGCTTTGGGCCATCCTCGACTGCCTTCCCAGGCCACAGGCAGGGAGCTGGATGGGAAGTGGAGCTGCCAGGATTAAAACTGACGTCCATATGGGATCCCGGCACGTTCAAGGCGAGGACTTTAGCTGCCAGGCCACGGTGCTGGGCCTGCAGGCAATGTCTTAACAACACTACAATGCTGGCTATTGCGTGCTAGCTTGAACCCTAAGGACAGGACCTCTTCCTTCCTCCATTCTGAGCCTGCATGCAATAAGAACTGTGCAGCAGGACTGTGAAGGCTTCACTGCCCTGGCACCTACTTGGGTACCTTGGGCAGCATCCAGGAGGCCCCTTCCTCCAGAACACTCAGCAGATATATCTCAATGCTTTGAAGAAAACCCCCTGGAAAAGTCCCAATCCTGGAGCCGCATGTCCCCTTCCTTAGGGCCTTTGTAGTAAGGTCCTAGGTTGATGGGCAAGAACCAAAGCTGCAGGCTGGACCTCTGGTCTTTGTTCCACACCCTCCTGATAGAGGCCACGCTCCAAGGGCAGCACTTAACAAAGCTCACCAACTACACACACCCCTCCCTTCTCCTTCGCCCTCTCTTCCCTTCTTACCTGGCTGTCCCCCGTCCTCCATCTTGTCCCCTTCCCCTGCCATGGCAGCCCTCTTCCTGCCACCATGGCAGATGTTTCCCTTCCTGAACCCCCTCCACCTCCACTTCCGTTCCTATTCTGTTGGAATAAAAGGACCTCCTAATAAAATTTAAAAAAAAAAAAAAAAAAAGCAGCTCACCAACTATCCATCCTCCCTGTGGGGTCCCTCAGTCTGAGGCCCCCCAGCCTGGACCCACTAGTGAATCACAGTGTAGATGGATGGAACGTTCTGTAAGGGACTAAGTGGGGCTGGGGTCCTCCTTTCACTGGATGGGATTTGGTAGAAGAGTTTTGTATCTCACCAATATATTAAGTGAGGAAGAGATGAGTGAAGGTGGGAGGAAGGTCTCCCTGGTCAGATACCCTCAGACAGTCTTCAGTTCCTTTGGATCTCCTCAGCCTTGTGAGGTTGTTGGGGACCTCCTTCCTGGCATGGCCTCAGTAGGGCTGGAAATGTCTGGGATAACATGGGCAGCCATTTGACCCAGCAGAGTCAGTAGTCCCCAGGGACATCTAAGGACCTGGCCTTTCAGCTCCGGGCAGCACCTTGCGTGTCTGCAGATTTCTGCCCTCAGCTCATAGCTAGCCCTGCTCATGATGTGGCAGGAACCCATGTCACATTTGGCAGAGACTGCCCGTGTTCCTGTCGGAGCCTTTTGCTCGGGCCTGTGAAGTAAACTGAAGCCAGTCAGCTGACAGGCGCCAGCATTTGGGCTAGCTTGGGTTCTGGGTCAGCCTAGTCGTGGGTCTCTCCTCATGTCCCAGTGGAACTGCTCTCCCCAGGGGGCCTTCAGGGACTTGGTGGCTAAGTTCTTGCTGGGGCACAAAGGACTTGGCTCTCTACTTCCAGTTCACTCCCATGGGGCTCTGTCTGCAGGTACCTGAAGGAGTTCCGCACGGAGCAGTGTCCACTCTTTGTGCAGCACAAATGCACACAGCACCGGCCCTACACCTGCTTCCACTGGCACTTTGTGAACCAGCGGCGCCGCCGGTCCATTCGCCGTCGGGACGGCACCTTCAACTACAGTCCTGACGTCTACTGTACCAAGTACGACGAGGCTACAGGCCTTTGCCCGGAGGGCGACGAGTGAGTTCCCCAGCCTGCTTTCAGAGAAACCCCAGGTCTCCTTGGTCAGATGCCCTCAGACTAGGCCACAGATTGTAGGAAGCCAGTCAGGCTGCTTTGGGAAGAACTAGCTGCAGCCTGGGCCACCTTCCTCCAGCCCAGATCTGGTTAAGAAGCCCTGTCATGGGCTGGAGCCTTTCTTTCTGGCCATCTTTCGGGAACCCTAAGGGCTTTTTTTTTTTTTCCACTGAGGGGTCAGATCTGAAGCCCAGTGGCTCCCTGAGATCATAGGGGCCCTCGCCCTGTCCCACTAGCAACCACACTGTACCTCAGAATTGCCGAGGCTGAACCTGTATGTTCTACCACAGATCTCTGGAGAAATGGGCACAACACTAATGATAGGCATTAGGAGGTGACACCACTGAGGGAACTCTGGCCTTGCTCATGATTTATTTTGACCTTGCAGAGGGCACAGGAAGTGCTGTGGAGTTCTGTGGACACAGCTTACTGAGCCATTGTTGAATCCACCCTGTTGCTTGCAGAGGTCAAAAGCTTGCACGATAAAGCACTTGGGGTAGGAGGGGCATGCCCAGGCTTCCAGCCAATTAGGACACCTAGCTGACAACATTCATTCTCCCAGAAATCTTCCCCGTCCACAGGTGCCTCCTTTTGGGCACCTTGCAGGACAGTCCAGCTGTGTCAGGCCTGATGGGTGTTTTCAGGCTACAGCACCCAAGGGAAGGGCATTCTCACCTTGAGGCACCTTGGGGTCATGGAGAAAGCCTTTGAATGGCTGGGAAGGGGTGGGGGGCGGGTATCTAGGCTGCCAGAAGCAAAGCAGAGTGACTTGTGCTACCATGTTCCAGGTGCCCGTTCCTGCACAGGACCACAGGGGACACTGAGCGCAGGTACCACCTGCGCTACTACAAAACTGGAATCTGCATCCACGAGACAGACTCGAAAGGCAACTGCACCAAAAACGGCTTGCACTGCGCTTTTGCCCATGGGCCTCATGACCTCCGTTCCCCGGTCTACGACATCAGGTGCGCTGGGGGCCAGGGTCTCGGCTACCGGCGAGGATGGCGAAGATAGGTGCGCTTTCTCTGCCCGCTGTCATGCCCACTCCCATTTCCTTTCTCTTCTCTTAGGGAACTCCAGGCCATGGAGGCCCTACAGAATGGCCAGAGCACAGTAGAGGGCAGTATAGAGGGCCAGTCCGCTGGAGCCGCGAGCCACGCCATGATAGAAAAGATCCTCAGTGAGGAGCCTCGGTGGCAAGGTATGGGGGCAGCCTTGCCCCTCGGGCCCGAGGCCTACCCTCCCCCCGTGCCCAGAGTTGCCTTGAGGACTGGCTCACCACCATCTCCTGACTTCTCCAACCCACGCTCCCTCCTTGCTGGGTGGTGCCCAGCCCCCTTTTCCCACCTTACACCTTTCTTCACAAAGTACTTCTGGGGGGAGTTCACTCAGATGCACTATTCCCAAGGGCTTGCAGGTGTTCATATCTGCATACACGGCGCTGATTTGCACACATATGTGTGTTCTTCCCTCATGGCAGTGCCTTTTTGGCTCTGTGAGCTGTGTGTGTCTCTAGGGAGGGACCAGCTCTGGTCTGGGCATCCTCAGCTTGCCTGTGGCCTGTGTAGAGGTGGCACTGCTGACCCCTGCTAGCAGTGTCACTCTGGGGCCCCCTCCTGATGGCTTCTCCTTGCTTTCCCTCCACTTTATTGATGTTCTCGGGGTATTCCACCCCCACTTGCCTGACCCCTGCCTTCCGGCCCCTGTGCAGAAACCACTTACGTGCTGGGGAACTATAAGACAGAGCCGTGCAAGAAGCCCCCACGGCTGTGCCGCCAGGGCTATGCCTGTCCCTACTACCACAACAGCAAGGACCGGCGGCGGAGCCCCCGGAAGCACAAATACAGGTCCTTTGGTCCCAGGAGGCCGGCCGTGGGTGGGAGATGTGATGTGGCAGGGAAGGGATCTTGCAGAAGTTACTGCCACTGTGGCAGGGCGGTGGGGTGACCAGCCCTGGGGTTACAGAATCCTAGGGCCTTGGTATAGGGGGAGGAAACAGGACAGGTGACTGGATTTTTGCATGAATGAGAACCTGACCAGACCGTGTCTGGCACCTCTCCAGTTCTGACCCTTTGGGGTATGTGTGGAACAAGCCAGGCCACAGTGTGGACACTGTGGCCATGGCTGTGGCATGACTCTGGGCTGTGTGGTACCTGGTGGGAGGGCCTGGTTGGTGTGGTGACCAGGCTGGGCCAGAGAAACAGCCTGCCTTCTAGCCCTGGTAAGGCCACACTCCACAGCCTCTCCTTCCCAGTTCTGTGCCTGCCCCGGTGAGGTGGGGAGACAGAAAGGGGACCCTGAGCAGGGATCCTGGTGGCACCCCCAGGCCCTGATCTTACCTGCTCTTTCCTCCATCTTACCCCACTTGTTGGGTCAGGTCATCTCCATGTCCAAACGTCAAACACGGGGATGAATGGGGAGACCCTGGCAAGTGTGAGAATGGAGATAGCTGCCAGTATTGCCACACGCGCACGGAGCAGCAGTTCCACCCGGAGGTGGGCCTGGGGAGCTGTCGGGTCCTGGGCGGGATGGGTGGGGGTAGCTTAGCATATCCCCTTTGGGAGGCACAGAGGACAGGGCAGTGCTGGCACAGCTTCTCCTGACCGGCCCCCACCGGCGGCCTCTGCCCTGAGCCCACACAGCCCCCTGCCTGCTGCTGTCCCACCCAGGCTGTGTGATGGCGGGAGCCATGGACTGAGCGTGCGGAGCGGGCCTGTCGGGGCTTTGTGACATTTGAGATGCTTGTGAGTGATCTAGTGATGTTGGAGTCTAGGGCCCCATGTCCTCCCTGATACCGACTCAAGCCCACTGGTGCTTTCCTGCGGCCCTGTGCCCCACGTTCTAGTCTGGAGGACAGAGAAAGGCACCTACTATCCCTGCCCTGGCTCCACGGAAACCATGAAACCTGAAATGGACCCCACAAAGTGAGGTCCGTGTCAGCAGAAGTTAGACTTACCCAGACCCCAAGACCCTGGGGGAGGGGAGATCCCTTTGTGAAGACTGGGAAAGCCTGGAGCCCAGAAAGGATGGGGGCATTGGCAGTGAGTTTCCTTGGGAGTTTAGAGTTCAAGGGACTTAGGGGAGCAAGTGAATCATGGGGTAAAATGATTTAAGCTGGTCCACCCATGTCAGGACATGGAGCCTGCCTGATTCTTGTGGCTGAACCTGACCCATTTCTGTCTCTGCTCTGTCCCCTCCAGATCTACAAATCCACCAAATGCAACGACATGCAGCAGTCGGGCAGCTGTCCCCGAGGACCCTTCTGCGCCTTTGCCCACGTAGAACGTATGCCATTTCCTTGACCCTAGGGTGGTGGCCCGCCCTTCTGTTGAGACTCAGGCAGAGGAGTGGGCACTGGCAACACATCGCTCACAGGCACCCTCTACCCACCAGGGGCCTCGTCCAGTGGGCGCTCCCCTTCCCTGCAAGTCTGTGAGACTAGTAGGGACTGTCGTCCTGGCCAGCATGTCACATCACCCCTGGCAGACATCACTAACGGCCTGTGAGGCTCTTCCCTTCTGATCCCTACTCAGGCCTCTAGAACAGAGCTGCTCGGGCAGAATGCACTGCAGCCCCATAGGCCTCTACTTTCCTTCGGAGCAGAATCTTTACCGTTGTGTGCAAGGAACTTGATAGTACACAGTTATCCCAGCTTTGGGGCAAGTTCTTCAGCCTTGACTTGACATCGCAAACCGCATACTTGGGACCTGGTGGCAGACAGATCTCACCAGGTCTGCCCTTGTGCTTGGTCCTGATACTCATGTACCATTTCTAAAATTTACATATTGTTTTGTTTTTTAAACAAGAAATGCTCATTTTGACAACATTTTTATTTAGCCCAATGTAAAATAGCATGTTAATATGTAATCAGTGTAGGAGAATATCAAGATAATTTCTGTGTCTGCTAAGCCTGAGAAAGCCAGTACCTAATGCACATTCTAGCTCAGCCCAGCGGATTTCAGGGGTTAGTCACCACTCATGGCTTGTGGCCACCATGCAGGGTGGTGTGAGTATAGATCTTCAACGCTACCACGCCCAATCTTGGCAATGGGGTGCAAGGTAGTACCCCTGACCCCTGCTTCCTCCCCAGGCCACTGCTCTGATTCTCTTCATGCCTCTGTGAGCTCAGCCTGTCAAGAGTACAAAACAGACTGAGCGTGCTGGGAGGAGAAAGCGTGTTCTTGGCACTGGCACACCCTGCCACAGCAGACCCAGGCAGATGGTTCAGGCTGTAGAGTCGGAGCTGTGTCCCAACTCTAGCTCTAAGGGCTTGCTGGATTTAACTTACCTCTCTGCCTCTGTTTTCTTACCTGTGAGATGAAGAGCCTGATGTTTCTTGTATCTTTAGTTACTGTGGAGAGTCCTGGTTGATGCCCAGTGCTGGGACCAGGGTGATAGAAGTAAGGTAGGGACCGTCCCTCAATGTGGAAGAGCATTTCTGGGACTGGCTTAGAAGCCTGCTGACCCCTGCCCCCATCTTTTGCAGAGCCACCCCTAAGTGATGACCTCCAGCCTTCCTCAGCTGTGTCCAGCCCCACCCAGCCAGGTCCCATCCTGTACATGCCTTCTGCTGCCGGAGACTCGGTGCCTGTGAGCCCCTCCAGCCCGCATGCCCCTGACCTCAGTGCCGTACGTGCCTTACCTAGGGAGGGGTGGGCACCAATGCCTGCCCCAGAGCCCATTCCAGCCTCTTGTCCTCAGGCCAAGGGGTTCTTCCTTTATGCCCCAAAGTTCTCAGGGTTCTGTTCTGTCAAAATTGGGGAGGGAGGGCTGGAGGTGCTCCCCAGAGCCTGTGCTAACCAAGCTGGGAAGGGCTGGGTAAAAGAAGGCCCCTGTCACTCTTCTGTCCCATGCCTACCAGTTCCCTCATGAGATTCTAGGGTCCCCAGGTGGTTGTTGCTAAAGAGGCTCCCGCTGCAGAGGGATGGCAGATGGGCTGTGCCTCAGCCTGCAAATGCCCACCAGCCACTCCCCTTCTCTGCAGCTCCTCTGCAGGAACAGCAGCCTAGGCAGCCCCTCCAATCTCTGTGGCTCCCCACCAGGCTCCATCAGGAAGCCCCCAAACCTCGAGGGCATGGTCTTCCCTGGGGAGTCGGGCCTCGCCCCTGGCAGCTATAAGAAGGCCCCTGGCTTTGAACGGGAAGACCAGGTGGGAGCTGAGTACCTGAAAAATTTCAAATGCCAGGTAAGGGATGGGAGGGGCAAGATATCTAACGCCTAGTGAGGCTAGCAGTCAAGGCTCGGAGGAGCCTTTGGCCCAGGTCTGGGTGGAGGCCTCGGAGCTAGGACTCCTCTCATCACCTCTTCAGGACTGAGCAGGTCGAGGAAGCTGTCTTGCAGTTGGAGGCAGGAGGAGGGTCTAGCAGCTTGTCAGTGTCACAGAGCAGGGAGGAGTGGGGACGGCATGAGGGTGTGGTCCTTCCCCTGCCTTGGATCTCCTTGAAGGGAGCAGGAGGGCCTTGAGGAGCAGCACAGAGGGTCTCCAACTGGGCCTGGAGATGAACCTTCTGGGCTTACCTGGGCTGAGTCATGTGGAAGGAGCAGTCCCCTGCTTAGGAGGGGAGTAGGGCTGGGGAGGAGGAAAGGGAGGCATGACAGGTGATGGATCTGCCATCACTGAGCCATGCAGGTCTCAGTGGATTTCTGGCTTTGGAGGCCCACAGCTCCACCCTCACCTCAGCTCCCTGCCTTTCTGTTCTAGGCCAAATTAAAACCCCACTCACTAGAGCCCAGGAGTCAAGAGCAACCAATGCTTCAGCCCAAACAGGTACCGAGCCCTCTGTTCTCCTACCTTCCAGCACCTGCTGTGAACAGGCCAGGCTCAGCCCCCAAGAGTGTTTAGGAAGTGCCACTTCCTATAACTGCAAAAAGGGACCTAGTTGGGGCTTGCCCCAAATACAAGGAGGGTGGGGGACAGGTCCTGGAGCCCCTCACTTCCCAGACTCCTCATCCAGTGAGAGCACACTGACTGGCATCTGTCCCGGGCCAGGCAGTGTGCCTACCTTCCCTCCTTGATAGCCGTGAGGGAGTTGATGGCCTGGCATTCTCCAAGCCACTCAACTAGCTCTAGTCTCAGCCTGCAGACTGGTGGGTAGTCCAGCAGGGCATGTGAGCGTCAGATGAGAATTGGGGGTGTATGTCCCTGGTCCCTCCTGTGCAGGCTTCCCATTGCCTTTTCCCCTCCTTGTCTCATTGCAGGATATGCTGGGCATCCTCCCTGTGGGCAGCCCCCTGACTTCCAGCATCTCCTCTAGTATCACCTCCAGCTTGGCAGCTACTCCCCCTAGTCCTGTGGGCACCAGCAGTGTTCCTGGCATGAATGCAAATGCTCTGCCTTTCTACCCTACCAGTGACACAGTAGAGTCGGTCATAGGTAATTGATGAAGTTGCTAGGCACAGGAGTGGGTCAGGGGTCAGAAACAGTCACATTGATGAAGTGAGGCTTAGGTCAGCAAGCTGGTCAGCTCGACTTCTGCCTCAGGCAGTCAGAGGTAGGGTCCTCAGCCGAAGGAGAAAGGAGTGTGAGGGGAAGAGCCAGAACCAACTCTTGCCACGCTTTGGTGTTAGAGTTGCCTTCATCCCAAGACTTGTGTAAACCAGTGCCCACGTTCTTACTAGGGATCCTTAGACAGTCTGTGCACGCACTGGACAGGCAGATAAGGGCTTGCTGCTGCCTCTTAGGAGAATTATTTACCTGCAGTCCACTGGAACAGGTGGCACTGCACTTGCCCAACACACACCCCTGTGCACTAAGCCACCAAGAAATACCCCTTACCCCACCACCCCAGTGAGCTCAGTGAGACCCAGGAGCTGCAATAGCAGGCGACAGACTGTCAGAGGCAGGACCCTGGACCAGAAGTACCAGAGGTGGCTTTACAGAAGAGAGGCCTGTGGGCTGGTTTGGCAGGTGGCATTGGAGGTTAGGTGGGCAGAGAACCCTGCCCAGTATGGCTAGAAGGTATGAGTGACCGAGAGAAGAGATTGTCAGGGTGGTCTGGGACCCTTTGGAAGCCGGCAGGCTCATGTCCTTCTCTGCCCCTAGAGTCCGCCTTGGATGACCTGGACCTGAATGAGTTTGGGGTGGCTGCCCTGGAGAAGACATTTGATAGCAGTACTGGCCCACACCCAGGCAGCATCACAATCGGTACTGGGCAGGGGGTGGGTGGCTGGAGGGCCTTTCAGGGGCCCAGGTGACCTAGTCCCCTTTCACTGTGGCCAGTGCAGCCTGCCTGGCTTCACAGCGGCCCTGACCCTTTCTTGCAGGTGGAAGTCTGCTGCAGAGCTCTGCACCCGTCAACATCCCCGGCTCCCTGGGCAGCTCTACCTCCTTCCACTCTGCATCCCCGTCCCCTCCCGTCAGCCTCTCCTCACACTTCCTGCAGCAGCCCCAGGCCCACCTGAGCCAGTCAGAAAACACATTTTTGGGCACCTCAGCATCACATGGATCTTTAGGTAAGAGGGAGCATGGCTCAGAGGACATGGCGGGGCGTGGGTGCTGGCGTGGGTGTCCACAGTGTCCACCGTGTATCACTTGGGCTGGAGGCTCCACCCTTGCCCCCACTTGTGTGTGTTGAAGGAATGGTTGTGATGGCAGCACCCACCAAACAGCCCACCCCCTGGGGTGGCTGGAAGGTGGCGGTGGAGCTCTAGGCACAGGCCAGTGCTGCACGCAGCAGACTCGCCAAGGTGAAGGCTTGGTCTGGAGCAGTGCGGCCCTCCCTTGGCAGTTACCGGAGCTCCCGCCACTGCGCACACCAGCCAGGCCTGTAGGAGAGTGGGTAAAGATTGAGCACAGGCTCAGCTGGGATACCCGAGGTCTAGCCAGAAGCCTATTGCCAGCGTACAGTTAAGCAAAGGGACCCAGACCTCAAAGGATCTTTTGGCATATGTGGAGGCCTGTGGGTTCTGGCACTACAGCCAGGGTGCTCGGCCCCACGTGGGGGCTTGAGGGCTGAGGACGATCCTGGAAGTAATGGCCGGAGGTCACTTGCATGGCTCTACCCTGTTAAGCAGCAGTGGCCTTTACTTCCCACTCACCCTGCAGCTTCTCAGAGGTCAGAAACAGCCTCCAAGGGGCTGGGCCCGGGGCCTCTGCACAACACAGCAGGCACAGCTGCGTCTACCGCCCTACTGCAGGGTGGGAGCTGCCCTCTGTTGTGTGTAAGGTTGGCTCAGGAATCATCAGGACCTCGTCCTCGCATTATTCCAGGTACAGGCATGAGTCCAGTAGTACAGGGCCCACAAGTCAGTGGCTCCTCTCCGAGGCAGTCAACACCCTTGAGCCGGAAGGACCGGGGAGGCCTCCCTGACCCTGAAGCTTCCGTGAGACCCTGTGGGACAGGTGGCTCCACACAAGATGGTGCCCCGCGTGTGTCATTGTGCTCATGTTGCTCAGAGGGGAGCATGTCCCAGCTGAGGGAGTGATAACTACGAAGTCTGAAGATGGTGGATGTGTGCACGATCCCAGAGGTGATGTTAGTGCCCACAGGAGCAAGGGCAGAGCCTGTGGAGTTCAGGAACCTTCCCTGAGTGAGCACAGGGTGGAGGGGGGAGGGGGAGAGCAGGCAGCTTAGGCGCCAGGAGCTGGAGGCCTTTGGAGGCCAGTGCCCACTGTGCCCTGCCCCACACATTGCCAGTCATGTCCTCCTCTGTAAACCAAAGGGAGTGTGCCCAAGCTCCCTTCACATACGATGGTATCCAGACTTCACATTCAGTACAGGATGGCTTGCTGGGCCTGAACCCTGGCCTAAGAGTGAAGTCATGGCATAAGTGGCCCCTGGCGGGGACTCCCCAAAGCCCCGGAATCTCCTTGTGAGGCAAGCATGGGAGCCCCACTTTGCAGAAGCGGATGCTGAGACTGGGAGTGGCAGGTGGCAGCAGAACTGGTCTGCCACAGCCAATGGCACCTTCCTTGTCTGCTCTCCCATCCCTGGGCATACCTTGACCTAGTGTGTAGCCAGCCCCTGAGAGCCCCAAGGCAGGACTGGCCAGGGCCTGTGCCAAAGCCCTCCCAAGCTGATGTCCCCCCCTCCCTGGGGCAGGTCTGAACGGGATGAACAGCAGCATCTGGGAGCATTTTGCCTCTGGAAGCTTCTCCCCGGGCACTTCCCCTGCCTTCCTGTCAGGGCCAGGGGCTGCTGAGCTGGCCCGGCTTCGGCAAGAGCTAGATGAAGCCAACGGCACCATCAAGCAGTGGGAGGAGTCCTGGAAGCAGGCCAAGCAGGTACTGGGCCCCATGCCCACCTGCCGACCCCAGTGCCTGGTGGCATCCAGCCCAAGCCTGTCCTACTCAGAGTACGCACAGGGGTGGGGGGAGCAGGGGCCATAAGAACAGAATGGGATCTCAGTTTTGTCCACTGTCCTCATCACCCCTGCAGCCAACTTGCCTTGCCACTCAGGACCCTGCGTGGCTGGCGTCGCGTGCATGGGATGCCTTCTGTGAGCAGCTTGTGTAGCCTAGACCCAGGACCCCTGCTTGGGTTTGGAAGCCCCACCCCCACCCAGGGGTCCAGGTCCCATGACATAGCCTCTACAGCTGCAGAGGGTCCTCACAAGATGCCGGTCGGCTTTGCACCCCTGCAGGGCAAGGCCCTATCCCCTCCTTCCTCTGCCAGAGGATCTCCTGCAGGTTCAGAAACCTGGCAGGCAGCATTCTGCTTGCCCCTCCCCGCCAGCCAGCCCAGCTTCCCAGCAGGCCCTATAGCCAGAGCGCCCACACAGGCTGCTGGAGTTGCTCTCAGGGAGGGGGAGGCACACACGGGGGCCACGGTGACGAGGTGCTGTGTGTTGGGCCCACAGGCTTGTGATGCCTGGAAGAAGGAGGCAGAGGAAGCTGGGGAACGGGCCAGTGCCGCAGGGGCTGAGTGCGAGCTGGCCCGGGAGCAGCGGGATGCGCTGGAGGTGCAGGTGAAGAAGCTACAAGAGGAACTAGGACGGCTTCATGTGGGCACCGAGCCCCAGAGCTTGCCCCCTTTCTCGGACCTGGAGGCCCTCTCTCTCTCCACCCTCTACTCCCTCCAGAAGCAGCTGCGAGCCCACCTGGAGCAGGTGGACAAGGTCAGCCCAGAAGGTCACGGATCACCGGGTGGGCTTGTAGGGTGGCCTCAGCAAGCACTTGGGGGTGTCCCGGCCCAGGTTGCTCTGGGTGTCGTGACACTCCTGAGAGCCACTACCCAGCCCTGAGCCAACACTCCCAGGAGGGCCTTGATGGAGGGAGGGATCCAGGGCTGACCCATGTTGTAGCTGAGTCCCAAGTGGCTTCCTTCACTAAGCTCTCCACAGCTAGCTGTCATTCCAGAATGGCTGTGGTATCAAGGGGTGTCCTGCTGGGTGCCTGGGAAGGTGACTGGGGCCTGAGTCCCTTAGTTCCCCCGGGGTGGCCACATAATCCTGGAGTGTGTCACAGTCCTTTCTGGGCCTCACTCTCCTGTAAGGAGGCAGAATCCTCTGTGGATGAGCCCTCAGGGATGGGGCTGCACAGCAGGGATAGTGGCCCTCTGTGGCTGGGTGCTTGTGAGCACCCACCAGATCCCCTGGCTACAAGATGCTACAGTCAGAGTCAGGGTGGCTCCCTGTCGCCTTGGGGCTGAGCTGGCAGGCTAGACCACAGCCCTGATGTCAGTGTCACTCTCCCTGCAGGCTGTGTTCCACATGCAGTCAGTGAAATGCCTTAAGTGTCAAGAGCAGAACCGGGCGGTGCTGCCGTGCCAACACGCCGTCCTGTGCGAGCTCTGCGCAGAGGGCAGCGAGTGTCCTGTCTGCCAGCCCAGCCGGGCCCATGCCCTCCAGTCGTGACCCTGAGGGCCTGGCCCGGCCTGGCCCGGCCAGCCCATCCCTCCTCCTCTAGGACTTTTTAAAGGATATATCTATCTATATATATGTATGTATGTACGTATGTATGTGTGTATATGTATATGATTATATATATGTATACATTGCTGTGTGGGTATGCGTGGTGGCCGCCGTGTGAGCAGTGTCTGTGTGTATATCTGTACATAGATGTAGACACACACTTTAAAGCAGACTTACCAAGCACTTTTTACAGACCTACTTGGCAGGCCTCCCCTGTCCTCCCACGCCTCTGACAGATCCTCTGTTCTCTTTTTTTAATGTAGAAACTAACTATTTTTAACTTCTTCCTGGGCCTGCGCAGGGGAAGAGGCTGAGGGGGAGGAGAGAAGCCTTCAGGGCAGGCCCTGCTTGCCCTCCTTCTCCCAGCTGTGAACCGAGGGAGGGGCCAGCTACTGCCCGGGAGGACAGCAGGGCCTGGCAGGCCCAAGCTGCAGGGTTAGCCCAGGCCCACAACTGGGTTCCTGAAGCGCACGGGCAAAGCCTGTTGTATCGCTCAGGTCCAGAGGCCTGGGGCCCACCTGGCTCCTCCTGGACCCCTCAGAACAGCCTCCCTGTTCTGTGGGCACCGTCCTGAGCTGTCACCGACCCCTCCCCTTTGCCCTGGCCTGCCTGTGTGCTGTCCACCCCTCCCCCTGGCAGCTAGCAGGACAATTGGTGGGGAGGAGTGTGAACTGAGGACCAAGGGGGCGCAGGCCCCGCCCTCCTGGCCAGGAGGGGCTCTTATGCATTCCTTGGTGCTCTCTGAGTGCAGCTGACGCCCTGCCCGTGGTGGGCAGACGCCTGTGTGCATGTGTGTGTGTGCGTGCCTGTCCCGTGTGTATTGTGTCTTAGCTTCCATTTTTAAATTGTCTATACAGAGAGATGCAGCAGGGGTGCGGGGTGGAGGGAAGCCACTGTGTTCCCAGCACTTCCCAGCACCGGTGTCCTCGAGAGGCTGCCAAGGTCTGGCCCAGCCCAGTCCCTGCTCCTCTCTTGGGCTCAGCACGAAAGGGCTTTCAATGAATTAAGTGAAGAATTTCTCCTTTTTTACAAAAATGCAAAAATCAACAAAGCTCCAAACCTATTGGAAATAAAATAGGAACTTCAGTGGTGGTTTGTTTATCCGGGGTGGGCCAGGATTCCTGTGTTAGCCCACGACTGAGCTGTGGTAAGAGCCTGGGGGCTGCTGAGGTAGGCACTGGAGCCTCAGACTTGAGCCCTCCCCAGGTTGTAGTCAGGGCCTATCCACTAGGATGGGTTTACTTGTGGTTCTGGAATGCTGCTCAGAAGACATAGGGGTGGTCTACTTGCCTTCCTGCCAGCCCTCCCCCGGGAGCCCTGCCTGGCAAGGAAACACCCTGGCAGGGGTCTGTCTCAGTGGGCCACAGGTGGTGTGCTGGGAGGGGCACTCGCCCAACCCCTCGCCGGCACTGTGTGCAGGCTAGGCTGAGTGGTTTACAGCTGACAGCACCCGGCTCTGCTGTGCCTGCCAGTAGAGCACCGTCTGACCCACAGCCTGGGACCCCATCCTGAGCAGCAGCCAGGAATGCGTGTGCGAGGTGAACGCACGCCTCCAGCCTCCCTCCAGCCTCCCTCCAGCCTCGTGCCGGGGCGGTTAGGCTCACACTGCCTCCGTGCTCTGCTGTGGGGGCAGCTCTGCGTCTGAGGGCCAAGAGAAGGTGTTCCAGCCTGGCCAGCCTTGGGGACTAGCTGCAGGCCAAGAATGTACTTTCTGAGGTGACTGGATGGTTTATTAGTTTTGCTAAGGATCCTAGGTGACAAGTGCTGTCGTCGCTCTGTCTTCCCTGGTCCCTCCATATCCCCTGCTGTCCTGAGCCACAAGGGCTTCTCCAGGCTCCTGTCCCTTGTAGCTGTCACTTCTGCGGGCCTGGCCCCCTCCAGAGCCTGAAACAGGTGGACTAGAAGACCCCATTCCGCTAAAACTAGTTTTTCCAAGAGGAGCCCAGGGCACCCAGGTCAGGGCTGCGGTGGGGAGGCAGGGAAGGAGTACAAACACAGCGGCTGGTGCTCCGTCGCAGGGGCTCTGCTCTGCAGGAGGACCTCGGAGGGCAAGCAAATGGCCTGGCAGGCCCCCGCCCTCCCCTCAGCCTCCACTGCTACCGCCCTGGCTGCAGGGCATGCTGGGAAGCCTGCTTGGCTCTCAGCCGCCTCAGCCGCACGAAGACCTGGGCCTCGCGGTCACCTTTCCGGCTCTCCAGCAGCTGCAGGATTGGGTCCCCTGTGGAGACGGAGAGAGGGATGGGGCTCAGCCTCAGGGAAGGGGTGCAGGATAGGGGGGCGGTGCACAGCACCAGCCAAGCTCTCAACACCTGACCTAAGAGCAAAATCCAAAAGCACGAAGCAGAAACAGCCACCACACTGAGCCACTGCCGAGAGAGCTGAGAGGTGCCTGCTGCTGTGTCCTATGGGCCTGAAGCTGGCTGGTGGCCCTGCCTGGTTCCCTCACTGGAAGTGGCTGTGATACTGCATCGACCTCACTGGCTGGTTAAGGATGGACCAAGCCAATGTGTGAGAGGCGCACATGGGAGCATTCATCACAGATGCACCCCTGCTCAGAGCCACAGGCCTTCCACCAGCTCCTGGGAGAACCCCATCCCCTTAACACCTCGATTCCCCATGGTCTCCTGACTGAGTTTGGCCACACTCCTCAGCAGCATCTCTGTGCTCCGCCTCAGATGTTTCTCTGAACTAGACCCCACCATTGCACAGGCTCCCGTCCCTGCCCACCCCAGGGCTCCAGCCTACCGTTGGGTTCAGGGTACGTGAGGGGCAGGCGGGTCTGAGGCACCTCACCAGGCTCCTCGGAGCCGCTCAGCCCAGGCACTGAGCAGAGAGGCAGGAAGGCCTCCCCTTCCAGGTCGTCAGCACCCAGCGTGTCATGGTCCAGCACGGTGAGCAGGAGGCATGCCCCGTCCTTCTGGCAAGGCTCAGCTGGCACCAAACTAGAGGACAGAGTTGGCCTTAGCTGCCCGGTTACTGCCATCCCCCATCCCTGGTTGCAGGGAACAGAACAAGCCTGAGAGGGGTTGCTGAGAACTCTTGGCCACATCACGTGACGCCTGTGACCCCAGGTTCCTGGGGACCTAGGGACAGGACCATTACCTGCAAGCCTTGAGTGCAAAATATAGGAAGCAAAAGCTTGTCCAACGGACCCCTCCCCTCAGTCCAGATGTGCTCTTGGGAGCAACAGACTCGAGGACAGAGCCAACAGAGGGGTGACCCACTCACAATTCAAAGGTCTCATCAAACAGAGGGTGCAGGTCCTTCCTGTGCTTCTGAGTCTCCCTGGGGGCCAGCTCGGGGAACTCATGCCTGGGCTCCAAGGTCAGCTGGATGAAGGGGTCACTGGAGCCTGTGAGAACAGCGTTGGCTGAGGGGCGGGCGTGCTGCAGCACGTCGGGCCGCCCCACACCAGCATTCTGTGTGGAGCACCGGTTGGAGTCCTAACTGCCTAGTTCCTTTGTTAAGCTCTCCCCCACCACACCCCTGGGGGGAAGGTCATAGATGGGTTCCTGGGCCGTGACACAGGGATGGGAGACCTGGATAAAGTGCCTGACTCCGGCCAGGCTCGTGGGGCTGTCTGGGGAGTTCACCATCGGATGGACACCCTCTCCCATTCTGCCCTTCAAATACATAAAGGTGGACTTGGGGGCCGGGGTCACGCTAGCCCCACTACTCAAAAATTCATGCTCAGCAGCACTGACCCCTCCTGGCACCCAGAGGAAATGCACCCGGAGATGAGACAACCCCCACCCCTCAGGAGGGCCACCCTGGTCCCACACTCACCATTGGAGTCCAGCGGCAGCAGGCTGGAAGCACTGAGGATCTCCACGCGAAGCTTCTGCTCCGCGACGCGGTAGGAGGCCTTGACCGTGACCGCCCCCAGGGCCTCAGAGGTGGTTTCTGCCTGGGGTGAGGAGCATGCGCAGGGTCAGCTGGGGCCCGAGCGGGCGGGGCCCCGGGCTGCAGCGGAGCCGCGAAAGGGAAGGCTGCCTCACCTGCTGCCGGATGCGGCTGCAGAAGTACTTCTGGATGAGCTCCCGGCTGGAGGCCGCCTGCAGCTCCAGGTCCCTCTGCAGAGCCTGGGGACGGGCGCGGCCGGGAATCTACCTGAGTCGTTGCGTCCACAGACGCTCACGGAAGCACCTGCGCCCTCCTCAGGAATGCCCAAGCACACAGGCGGGCTGGGGCCCTGACCCCCCTCTCCTCCACCCCCACTCCCGGCTTCTTGGGCAAGCCCCGTCAGCACCTGCGCAAGCGCTCAGGGCCCCCGCGCTGGGATGACTGCCCAGCTCTAAAGTGTGACGTTTTTCGTTTTTGACTAAAGGGGACACCTTTTTCTCTTGTCCCCACCGCCTACCTGGAAGTTCACCCAAACCCCCTACCTGGAAGGTGGCTGTGTGCAGGGCCTCCGGCGGCAGGCCACAGCCCTCAGCATGGAAACAAATCTCCAGGTTCTGGGGATGCGGGATGGAGGACGGCAGAGGTGACCTTGAGCACTCGCTGCAAGTCCCCATCCCCACGCGTCAGGGAGGCTGGCCCAGTATTACCTGCAGGGCAGTCTTGAGCCTGCAGGAAGTCAGGGGGCAGCTGCGCTGGGCGGTGGCGGCCTCCACCAGCACCACCAGGGTGTGAGTCCACAGCAGGCTCAGGAGGCTGGGTTAGGGACAGGGATGCCGGACACAGGGCAGGGTGACAAAGGGAGGAGGGAGGGGTCTTGAGAAAGGGGAGACCTAGGGAACCCAGGCCCACCCCACCTCCTCTCATTGCTCCTCCATGTGCCCCACAGATGGAGATGGGAGGCAAGCAGGGGGCAGGTGCCTCCTTCCAACATGTTCTCAACATGGGTGCAGAACCCTCTTCAGGAACATCGGAGCCCCAACAAGTAGTCATTCAAAGGGAGGGGCAGGTGGTCTCCCCGGGACAGGATGGCCACTCCAGAAACAGCAGACACAGCATGTGCCACTGCGCAGGGAGATAGTGGCCTGAGAGTGATTTGAAATCTCACACAAATGCAATTAGAGTCCACTGTTAAGAGCCAGAATACAGGCGGAGTGTGTGGGAGGGGGCGGGGTTGCTGTGCACCTGCTGAAATTCTCCTGCACCAGGTTGGTGTTCATGTAGCAGAGCTTCACCTCCAGGAACTTCATCAGAGGCAGGATGGCCTGGGAAGGGGTCAGGAAACAAGACAAGGAGCTCAGAGCTTGTGTGGACGGGCTTTTCCCATTTGCAGGTCTTGCCCCTGCCTGCCTCTCAGCCTTCCTCTCCAGCTGGTTCCAGCTGTTGTAGCCAGACTAGACTACTGGTCCAGCCCTTGAACCTGCCAGGCCCTGACCTTTGCCCTTGCTGGTTTTTCCCATGGAAATCCCCAGGGCTCCACATTTCCGTCCTGGGGTTCCTGGCTGGGCTCCCGGTCTCTTAAGAGGCAAGCCACCCAACCACTGTCTACACTCACAGCCCTCTGCAGCACCCCTCCTCTAGCGTGCTTGCGTTTGCACTCTATGACACAATCACTGCTCCAGTCACCACTGTTGTGAGGATTCAGGCTAGCTCTCCTGCTCCACCCCTGTCTGACCGCAGCTTAGCTAGATATTGTCTAGACATTGTCCATGGATCAAGCACCAGTTGCTGAAATCACTGCCTGGGACCACTTGGGTGTTGCCTAAGCAGTTGACAAGTCATGAATAACCCAGCCCTCTTTCACAGGGTGTGCATGTTCCCAGTGAGGGGACAGACAGGACACAGAGCTGCCAGGAGGGACACAGGACCCTGGCCCATGGGGCTGCAAGGCCACAGCCTCCCCTGCCCCTGTCATCCCGGTAACTGATAATGTTAGGAGAATCTATGAGGTGACCCAGCCGCCTCCCTGAGCATCTAAGGCGGACGCTGAGGCTCGGAGAGGACATGGCTCGTCCCAAGCTGGGGGACTGACGTCTGATGGCCCAAACCCCGACACACAGAGCTGGTAGGGCAATGGAGAAGGAAGCACACTCACATCTTCAGGTAGGACAGAGTCCCGGACACTCACAAGCTTCTGGATGTGCATGGCGATGCCCGCCTCCAGCTGGGGACAGGGAACGAGAGGCCAAGAGTGCTCGTCACTGGACACAGCCTGAGTCCCACTGGGACCAGGCTGGAGGCAGAAATGGGGTCGGGGACAATGTACCTGTTCAGCCAGTGTGCGCACTCCTGTACGAATCTCATGGCCCAACCCAGCCAGAGCACTCTGCAGCTGGGCGTGCAGTGTGTTCTGTAGCTGCCCCTGCTCCAGCACAGCCCCGACCCGCTGCTCCAGGGCTTCCCAGGCCAGCTGGGAGGGCAGCCTGTTGGTCACCAGCCGCAGTTGCTCCATGTTGTTCACCACCACACACAGCTGGGGCGGGCAGGGCAAAGGAATGGGGTGTAGCGCCAGGACGGCCAGGCCCCACCCGTGCCTTGCACCCCCAACTCTGGCCCTCACCATGTCGGCTGCCTGGCTCTGGTCCTTTTGGCCTGCAGACAGCTCCCGGGCTCGGGCCTTGATAAGGCTGCAGTACACCAGGGCCAAGCGACAGGTGTCCTGGGAGGGGATGGGATGGGACCGAGGGGGTCTGTCAGCGGGAGGGCATCCAGGAAGAGCAGGTGGAAGGAGGGCATTTAGAGGGCTTCAGACACAGGCATTGGAGCCCTGCCAGTGTCCAGACCAGGAACAATGGTGAGGGGACAGCATGGTTGTCCTGGGAATAGGGGAGACACTGTACCTCCACAAACTTGACTGTGATCATGAAGGCCTCCTCTGGGTCCGGCCAGTCCAGCTGCCGGGCAGTGTGGCTGATCTGGGCGAAGCAAGTGGACAGATCCACGGCTGATGTGCTATGCTTGGTCAGTTCACCCAGGGGCACAAGCTTGGGGGAGAAGAGAGCACTTAGAAAGAAAGAGACCGGAGCCGGCATGGGCACCGGTTCGGGTCTTGACCAAGCTGCTTCTGATCTAGCTAAATGGGCGAATATGCCTGCGAAAAGCAGCAGAAGATGAGCCGTGCTTGAGCCCCAGCATCCATGTGAAGAACCTGGAAGAAGCTCCTGACTCTGGCCAGGCCCGACCATGCTATTGCCACCCTCTGGGAGTGAACAGTGGTATGGGAGATCCCTGTCTTTCTGTGTAACTCTCAAATGAATCTTAAAAGCAAACAAAGCAACATGCATATATATACACATATATAATATAAAATATATATATATTTACTTTATGTATATATATATTTATCCTAGTCAAATAAATAAGGAAGGGAGAAGAGTTTAAATACAACCCTCTTCTCCCCTTCAGAGTAGCTACTGCTGCCAAGTTGGGACCTGGGCAGGGGGCTGCCAAGGGAGCAAGCAAGGCTCTACTCAGAATTCCCCATCAGGCCCAACCAAGGATGTAAAAAGACAGCATCTGGCACCTTCGCCCACCGCCCAGGGCCTCAGCCCCTCCCCTAGACCCACCTGGTCCATCTGCACGGCGCGCTGCACACGCTCTAGGGCCACGTTGTACGTCTTCTGCAACCAGGAGGGGATGGCTGGCTGAAACCAGCAGTGGAAGCCATCTAGGGCTGGGACTCTGTCCCTGGGGAGAATTGAGACTCAGCCTGGGTGAGGCCTCAGGTCCTTGTGGTTCCTCCCTCTCCTCATGTGCCAGCCTGCTGCCCACCTCTCAGAGGGGAGTGGGCCTAGCTGGCAGAGCTCCTTGAGGCTGACATAGAGCTGGAAGAGACTCTCGCCCATCTCTGGGGACACAGGGGGGCACACGGTCGCCATGTGGTCCTGTGCCTGCTTGGCCACCTGCAAGACAAGGCACGGTGGGTGAGGTGGGCTAGGGTGACAGATCTGGGCAAGGGCGCAGCCCAGGGACCAAGGCCTCACCAGGCCCTGCAGCTCCCAGAAAGCCGTGGAGAAGAGGTCGATTCTGAGGACACTGAGAAAAAAAGGGATGGGCGTGACCAGGGACGCACGCAGGAAGTTGGGCCTTGGGTCCAGCTCGTGGGACCCCTCCCTCCCGCCCCAGTGGTCTGGTCTCACTTGTGGAAGATCTTGTTCCAGGTGCGCAGGCACTGGTGCAGGTCGCCAAGGACATCCTGCACCAGGCTCAGCAGGGCCTTACCAGCTTCCAGCACGCCCTGGTGGGGTGTAAGCACGTTGAGTGGGAACCGACACAGGCAGGCACTCCCACGCCCTCCCGCCTGGGAGCCCCTCACCTGCACCATGGGCTGGTGATGCTGCTGTTTCAGGTGGAACCACTCAACTGTGCCTGTCTGTGGGCACAGAGGCTGTGAGAGGGAGAGGCTGGCGGGCCCAGGCAAGCCCACCCCTTCCTGCCCCTGGAGGTATGAGCCTTACCTGGAGGGCCTCAGTCACCAGCTGAGGCAATGGGGGACTGTCCAGGCACAGTTCTCCGAAGGCCTTCATCTTGCACATTTGTGCCAGGACCCTGGTAGACAGTGCCAACATCCCACCTCCCTGTGGCTACCCTCCTTCCTTCAGCAAGGCCCCCAACCCCACCCCAAGCCCTCTGCAGAAGTGGCAGGGGCAGCCACTAACCTGAGGAGAGACTGCAGCCGGGCTGGGGAGTCGGGGATGGACAGGGGAAAGACAGATCGGAACTTCCGGATGAGGGCAAGGCCATAGGCCAGCAGGGAGCTGAAGGAGGTGGCCAGCTCTTCCAGCTGCAGGGCCAGGAAGATGCCAGCAGGAGTAACAGCTTTATGGGGTCCAAACAACCTCCCCTGCCCTGCCCCTCCCTGACACCTGCCTGCGCAACAGCCACCGGCTTGCCCTACGCCCACCTGTTCGGCTCTGAGCCGGCCCTGGATCCACTGGTACTCAATACTGGTGATAGGATGCAGAAGGCAGCTGCCGGGAAACTCCAGGCTCTGGTAGAGGCGGCTGTAGGCCAGCCACTGCCTGCAGGGACAGAGAGGATGCAGCCTGTCAGGAGGAACAGCCACCTTGCAGAGCCACCCCGACCAGCCCAGGCTGGCACCAAGGGGCACCCGCAGGTGCTTCTCAAATTGCCTGTTTGACAGGATATTGGTGAGTTTAAAATTTCAGTATTGTTTGCACAATGGAAGGACTTGATGGGGAGAGAGGATTGTCTGGGGACAAGCCAAGGGCTCAGCCGGACACAGCTGCCACCTACATCACGTGCTCTGGCTTTGTAAGCAAGCTGGACCCCTCACCATCTGCTGCCTGCCGTATCTGCAGCCTCACGCCCTATCTCCGTCCCATGGCCAGTCTCCAGATCCCCTTCTCTAGCTGGTATCATCTGCCTAAGGGCATCCACTAGCCACAATGCCATCCTTGCCACCCCTGCAGCAGTCTCCGTCCAGGCCCATGGAGCTTCCAGCCAGGAGCCTGGGAGTGCCCTACTGCTACACTTCTCACACGCTCTGGGCATGTCTGCGTGCCTCTTCGTGGCATTCCTGGAATGTGACAGAACGTGGAGGCATGTGACCAATTCTCACATGCACTTGTTGAAATCAGCACGGAGTCTGGCTGGCTCTGAAGTTACCTCATTGGAAGTGGGGCCAGGCCCAGGGCAGGAGTGGCCAACATGCGGGTGGGTGCCTGGAAGGGGCACAGGAGGATGCATGGCTATGCTCTGGCCACTCTGTGATCCCAGTGCTATGTCTTGAGCAGCCAGTCAGGGCACAAAGTCTCCAAGTTCACACTTAAAGCCCACTGGTTGGGACTGATGCTGTGGTGGAGTTGGTAAAATCATTGCCTGCAGGACTGCCATCCCATAGTGGTTTTGTCCTGGCTGCTCCACTTCCGATCCAGCTCCCTGCTTATGGCCTGGGAAGGCAATGGAGGAGGACCCAAAGTGGGAGACCTGGAAGAAGCTCCTGGCTTTAGATCAGCTCAGCTCTGGCCATTGTGACCATTTGGGGAGTGATCCAGTGATAGAGATCTCACTTCTCTCTCTGTACCACTGACTTCCAAATAAAGAAATCAACACACAGGTTGGGCTAAGAAATTCTTTCCCTATTTCTAGAGGGCTAGGCTCGGGGGCTGCCAGCATGCAGGGGGCAGACAGGGTGGGGGAGGGCCTTGCACAGGGCTGCACACTCACGCTAAGGACTGGTGAAAGTCGGACAGGTCCTTCTGCGTGGCATGGAGGAAGAGGATGGTAGTAGCCTGGGGACTCAGGGATCCATCCCAGGAGGTGCTGCCCGCCTAAGGGGAACAGTATGGGGGTGGAGGGAGTGGTGTCAGGCCCCGAGGACAGCCCCGGCTGTGCCCTGCCCAGCAAGGCCAGTACCTGGTACTTGGTGACCTCGTGGGATACCAGCTGCTGCAGGAGGTGGCGGTGTACAACATAACTGGGCCGGGAGCGGCTGGCTGCAGTGGCTCTCTGCAATGGGGACCCCAGGGCTGTGAGCAAAGGGGATCCCACTCCAGTTGCAGCCTTCCTCTACTCCAGCCCAGCTGGACCCCAGGTCTGTCCCCTGTTCTCGCCCCCCACCACCGGGACCTACCCGCTTGTGAATGAGCTGGAACTGGAGGTGGCAGCGGCCACGGTCTGGGTAGGTCTCGGTGCAGGGTTCCAAGGGGTACCACTGGTCCTCACGACAGTGCAGGTCCTGGGGGAGGAGGGAAGGCTGGGTCTGTGGCTGAGAGGTCCTGGAGACAGTGGGGGTAACCCTGCAGCCCCTCCTACTCCCCTCAATCCCTGCCTGCTGCTGCTGCTTTTCCAGCCCCGCCTCCTCTCCCTCACCTGCAGCCTTAGAACCACATTGCCCAGGAAGTCGTCCTGGCCCCTGTCCTTGCGCGCCTCCTTGAAGATCCTGCTCAGGAGTCCGTGAGGGTGCTGGGCTCAGTGCCTGAGGGTCAGGCTGGCCTCCGCCAGCTCCAGCCCGCCCAGGCCCCAGCAGCACCTACCTTCGCAGCCCGTGTAGGTCTGTGAGTTCGCCCAACTTTTGTCTCACCGACTCCACTGCGTCCAAGTCCCTAGTGAAAAGGAAGCAGAGCTGGAGGCTGGGGGCATGGTCTCCTGGGGACTCGGTGTGGCAGAGCACCCCCCATTCTCTCTGCCCTGCCCAGCCCTAGGGTGGGCCAGCACTCACCACATGTCCAGATGAAAGCTGGCACTGGCTATATCCTCAAACTCCCTGAAGGGACAAAAGGAATGAAGGAAGAGTCTTGAGGGAGGAGACCCGTCTCCAGCAGCCCAATCCTGTCCCCAGAAGCTGCGAGATCCAGTGTTTGCAATAGCCCCTATCCACCTTCCCTAGCAACCACATCCCTCCTGCCTCACCACACACATGGCATCTGTGTCATCATTCTGTCCCCATCCACCCCATTGTCTGCGCAAGGGACCAACACACCCACTCCCCACCCCACCCCACCCCGCAGTCAGCCAGGAAGACCCTGCCTGGAGCAGCAGTCAGGGTAAGACACATACAGGATGAAGGTCTCGTCCCAAACCGGGTTGAGCGTCTGAGTGATGACCTGGGTGCGGTGGGTCTGGTCCTCTGGGATGGTATCCCGCACCACGGCCTTCTGCCTGCGCCGAGAGGTGGGGCTGCCCCCGGGCACGCCCACCCCTTGCTCTATGCCCAGCAGGCAGTAGGGGTCACTGAGGCCTGGGGAGGAGGGGAGTCAGTCTACCCACGCCAACACAGACTGTCCCTTGACATCACCCACTGCTGCAGGAGTCCTTGCCAAGACAGGGCTAGCCCCAGGGGATTGGGGTTCAGGCTGAGATGGGCAAAGGCCACAGACAGGGAGAAGCCCCTGGGGCGATGGGGTGGCACCACGCCCCAACTCACCACTGACATCCTTGCCCAGAATGCCCTTAGCCTGCTTCACTGTGGCCTTCAGACAGAATGTCGGCTTCTGAAGGGTCAGGAGGGACCAAACTGAGTCCCAGAGAGACCAGCTGGGCTTCTGGCACGCCCCTCCCCTCCCAAAACCCAGAATGAGACAGGGCGGCCCGGGGCTACCTCAAGCTCCTGGACCCGTCGCAGCAGCTGCTCATGTTCCTGGGGCTCTATGTGGAAGGCCTGGTGGGGAGGCCAGATATTGGGGCTAAGGGAGACTGGGGGCCAGGATGGGAGCGGGCCCTCCCTCGGGGGCAGGCTGCCAGGAGGAGGGGGCTCACCTCCTGCAGGTAGTGCAGCAGCTCCGAGGCCTCACTCACGTGGTCTGGCTCTGGCTGCCCCAGGCGGTGCAGGATTGTGTACAGCGCTTCCTCGTAGAGCAGGACCCGCTGGGGCAGGAGCAGCAGCTCAGGCGCCCACTCCAGCCTCAGCCAAGCACCCCTCGGGCAGTGGAAGACCCTTTTCCAGCCCCAGCCAGAAGACCAGTTGCTTCTCTGCATCAGGTGCCTGTCCCCACCCATACTTACCTCCTCTGGGGGTAAGTGGTGTGATGGAGGTTCTGTCTGAGGAGCACAGAGGAGAGACGGGTGTCCTTCCGGGCCTGAACTGGCCACGTTGAGGTCTAGGCAACCAGGCCCCCGCCCCACGGCTGGCCCTCAAAGCCCCACCCCTGCTGCCCTGCACCTGTTCTTGCAGCAGGTCTACCAGGGGGCCACTCAGCTGCTCCCCGGGCCTGCTGCCGCTGGGGTCCATGGGTGCTCAGCTGACCTGGCGGCACGAGTCCTCCTCCCACCCGGCGCTGGCCCCCACCCTCCCTTCCTGCCCCAGAGGAAGCAGCTCAGTTTATCGGGCGGTCTCAGCTCCTCACCCCAGTGCCGGAAGCGAGGCCCTGCAGTGGAGGTGGGAGATGAAGGGGGATGCCGGGGGCTGGTGGGCTGGTGCCCAAGCAGGAGCCCCAACTCTGACCCCTGGCTAACAACGCGGACCCATCCCCTCAGGGAGCCAGGGACTCTGGGGCTGCAGGAGCAGGGTTGTGGGGGTCGGCCCCACTAGAGCGAGGGGGCTCACAGTGACTTAGAGAGCTCGGTCAGGCATCCCCCCTCTTTGCTGCCCCAGAAGGCCCCACCTGGAGCAGAGCTGGCATGGAGGTGGGCCTTGACACCGGGGCTTCCAAGGCCCGAGACCACAGAGCCACCCGCCCTCCCTGTCCCGGGCTGGTGCTTCTGCCCACTGAGGTCCCTCCTACCTCCTGGGTCGTTTGGGGCAGGTCTCTGACCCTGGGGCGCCTTATCTTGATCGCCTGACGCAAGAGAGGGGCCCTCCGCTGGGGGTGGCCCGGGTGTGCGGCCATGGTGGCCCCTCTGCCCTTCCCTCTGCAGTGGCCCTGCTCTGGGTGACAACAGCAAAGCCGCAGGATGATGTAAAGACGCCCAGGCTGCCACCTCTGCCGGGGTGGGGGAGGGGCGGGCAGGAGCGGGGCAGGAGGGCCAGGGTGTCACCGCCTTCACCAGGGCCCTGTGTATTGCTCCAGCCACGATCCTACAGGATTCTCCCCTAGGCTGGCACAGAAGGTGGGCCCTATGGGCTGGCCCGCCTCACCCCACTCTCCTTTAAAGGCCCTAAGGAAGGGGTTGCCACTCCCAGCTGAGAAGGCAGGGCGGGACAGCCCCTTCCACCCATAGCACCACACCCGCCCAGCGTGGACCTGGCCCTGTCCTGGGGCAGGGGTGGAGCTGGGCTCTGAGTGTGAGCTATGTCCGCCCAGCCTGCAGCCAACTGCACAGCCTGTTCCACCTCACAGGTGACATTCCATGGAGGTGACAGAATGGGCTGTGCCGGCCACGGCTGGCCCTCAGTCCCTGCCCTCAGCCCTCAACACCCCGCCCCCGTGGGGGAAGGTGCTCCTGCAGACACCTTCTGGGGGGAGCAGCTGAACCCCTGAGGGCTGCGGGGCAGGGCCAGCTGAAGGAAAAGGGCCCACTGTCCATCTCTGCCAGGGACAGGAAAACCCACTCATGGTCAGTCTTTCTCAGAGCCCTGTGACCCGCAGGCCTCGTGCCTAGCGTCTGACGGGGAGGAAGGGCTTAGTAGGACTTCTTTCCCATCCACCCCTCCCACCTAGGTTCAAGAGTAACCGACAGGCCACAATGCGGGGGTGGGGAGTGTTTCAGTCCCCACAAGTTCTAATACCCTGTGTGTGTGTTGGGGGGAGGGAATTTAGCTTCCTCCAGCCTGGTCCAGGGCAAAGTTGCAATCCCAAGAGCAACCAGCAGGGGGCAAGGCGAGGTGCTGGGCAGGCTGCCACTGGCGTCACCTCCTTTGCAGCTCACCTCCTTTGCAGCCCGGGGCATCACGCTGCCCTGGAGAGCAGGGTCTCCTCCCAACCACCCCTCCCTCCCTGCCACAGATCACCCCACACAGTCCTCCAAAGCATCCAGTTACTTCATTTTTATTATTTCACATTTTTAGCAAACAAACCAAGGTGCAAACAGGGTTTATTTTACATTAATATATTAACTGGATTCTTTTTGTCAAATAAATAGGGAATTCTCTTTAAATAACCATCTCCTCACTTAGTGGCCAGTCCAGGAACAAATGTAAAGCAAAATGTTAGTGCATCCAGGGGCGGAGGGCACAGGGCAGAGGATGGCTGAGGGTAGGTGGCAGGTTGTGGGCAGCGCACGGGGTCAAGGCTCTGCTTGCCAGCTTGAGGGGACACATGCGTTCTCCAACTCCCTTAGGAAGCCCCATCTGGCGGGAAGGCAGGTTTAGGGGTGCCAGTAGGAAGCAGAGCAGCTCCCTCCCCAGGTGCAGTGGCCTTGTCTGCTGGGCCACTGGGCCCCCAAAGTCAGAGGTTGGCAGAGAACAAGCAAGGACAAGGCAATGTGGCTGGGCATGACCAGGGCTGCACGACAGACCAGCGTGGGGAATGTGACAGGCCCTGCAGGGCCCGGTGGGGAAGACACACAGCTGGTCTGACAGAGCCCAGGAGGTCAAGAGCGAAGCAGAGGAGCTGGACTGAAGTGGAGGAGGTGGCCAGAGAGTCCCTCCATGGGGAGGAGCTAAAGGAGAGGAACAGGAACCAGGGCCCTCTCCGCTCCCCAGGAAAGCCCCAGGGCTGGGAGCGGCAGGCTGGGCTGAAGGCTGGTCAGCCCTGCGCTTGGAGCTAGCGGGCAGTTGGGGCGCCGTCCAAGGCCAGGGCCCCGCCCTTCCGGCAGCAGCACTTCCTGGGAACTGTTTATAATCAGACCTAGAGGAAGACCAAGGCCCTCCCTCCCTCACCCCAGAGGCCGCCTGGAACGGTGGGAAAGAGCAGGGGGCAGGGAGGGGGAGGGAAGTGGGCGGGGTCTACTGTGTCTTCTTATCTTCTGGGGGGTAGTAAGGGGGTGGGGGGGGCTGGCTCTGAAAAGGGAAAAAAGAGGAAACACATTAGAAGGCTCAGAGGGAGGCAATCTCCCCACCCCCACGGCCTGGGCACTCACCGTGGGCATGTACACGTTGTGCGGGTTGCCTGGGTTGTAATAGGCGCTGGCAGCTGCTTCTGCGGCTTTAGCCTCGGCTGCGAAAACAAACAGTGCTAATGACAGCCCCCCTCACTCTTTCTAAGAGTTATTCATTCTCTATGAAAAGGAGCATGAGAGATGTGTCTTCCAATTGTTGGTTTCTTCCCCAAATGGCCACAACAGCCAGATGTGGGCCAGGCTGAAGCCAGGAGCCAGGAACCCCGTCAGGGTTTCCCATTTGGGTGGAAGCGGCCCCGAGCACTTGGGCCATCCCCCATTGCCTTCCCAGATGCATCAGCAGAGAGCTGGATGAGAAACACACCAGCTGGGAATCAAACCAGCCATCTACTATGGGCTGCCTGCAACACAAGTTGTTTTTTTATCCTCTGTGCCGCACGATGCCAGCCCCTATCCCCTGCTGCTTCCCAGGAATTGTGTTCAGCCAGGCAACCCTCCACGCCACAGGTCCAGGGTGGCAGGTGCTGGGACCCAGTGCCACCAACAAAAGCACCATCTAAGGTTCCTGAGCATCTGCCATGTGCTGGCAGGGTCCCTCCAAGTCCTTGTCAATCCTGCCCCATCTAATCCTTGACACAAGCCCACTGAGTGGCCATGAGAGCTCATGTCTGCAGAGAAGCAATGGGAGTAGAAGGACAGAGGGGCCTGGACCCTTACCAGCTACCAGGCCAATGCCCCACCAGTCCCATGGGTGATCCCCAGGCTGGGGTTTTGGCCACATGGAAGCTTCCAGTGGCTTCTGGCATCCTCCAGAACTCTCTGCAGCCCACTCACCTGCAGGAGTGGAGGGGACGTCGGGGCCGCTGAGCGGAGGTTCCATAGGCCCAGGGTAGGGTGGTGGTGGGGGCTGCATGTATCCCATGGCCCCATCCATCATGGGAGGTCCTGGATAGAACTCTGCTCAGAGACAGTAATAGGGACCCTGTGAGGAGCAGCTCTGGCGCCCACAGGAGCTGCCTCTAGGGAGCCGCCCGGCCTGGCTCCTTGGGACCCCTCCTAAGGCCCTGGCCTGGGGGTGGGCAGCAGGGGACACACTCACCAGGTGGGGGCGGTGGGTAGGGGTAGCCAGGAGGGCAGGGGTACATTCCATTGGCGACTGGCGGGGGAAAGACATAGGCCCCACTGGGCATGTAAGGGTACCCATAGGCTCCACTGGGGGCTTCACCTCTGGACGCTACAAGCACAAGGGGAGAGAGAGATGAATGGGGCTGTCCAGGGGTCGGGGAGGGCGGCCCGCTGCCTACCACCCCACGCCATGCTCCACTCGCACCCAGGTCTACCTCCTCAGCCAAGAGGACTGGGGACAGGGCAAGGAAGGGCAAGGTGGCTGGAGGGACGAAGGTTTTACGACGCAGCCTGCTGAGGTCCGGCCGAGCCCCGGGTTTTAACCGGAAATGAGGGTGTGAGGGCATGCTGATGGTTAGGTGTTTGTTTTTTTAGGAAGCTCTAGGATAACATCCTTCAGTCCCAACAGCCTTGTCAGAAGCCACACACCTGTGCCACAGGCTCCCTCCCAGCTCCCGGCCCAGGCCCCAAGTCCAAGTCCAGGGTCTGGACATTTGAGAACTTACAAAACAAAACAGAGAAGCAACAAAATTCCCAATGACCAGTGTGTCCTTGGCCCCTGAGGTTTACAGTCAAATACCTTGAGATGCCACCTGGAGCATGCGCTGTCCGAACTCAATGGCGCCCCCCGCTGTGAAGGTCAATTTGTAGGATGCAGCACCCTCCCAGCCACCTGAGGAGGGCCAAAGTTAGTGAACAAACAGCACAGAGAAGGTAACAGGCCTTGCCCCCAAGACAGCCCACCAGGTCCGCAGCAATGCCTGGAGGCTGCAAGGAGGCAGCGTACCACGCAGAGATGTGGAAACTTCTGCCTGCTGCCCAAAGAACACTCAGCACTGACTGCCCTCTCTGTAGAAGGGGATTTTTCCTTCGTGGTACGAAGCTGTCCTGGGCGCCTGCCCATCAAGGGTACACAGCCACACCAAGGTGGCTACTGCCAAATCAATCCCGGCAGCACCACGGGGTGGGGGAGGCACACTCGGCACTAACTGACGTTCAAGTTCAGAGCACAGCTCTCATTCTGAGGGGCCTAACCATCACACCAGGCCCCTCTGGACTGGCTTCCGTCCACAGAGGGCCAGGTGGGCCTCCCCACAAGGCTACAGCCTGGCTGGGTATGCAAGCAGGACCAGTGGGACACGGAGCTGCCTACTGACTGAACAGTCGGGCCCCCAAGGCAGGCCTCTCCCACACAAAAGGAACCCGTGTGCCCCCTCCCTGGCCCATAAACCCCTGCCGCTCTGCTGAGTCCACTGTCAGCAAGGAGGACAGAGCTGCCAACTGCGGTGCCAGCAGGTGCCCAGCTCCTGGCAGCCACAAGTCCATCTCTGCCACCCAGCTGGTAGCCCAGGTGTTCTCCTGGAAACCAACCTACGGCCAGCAAGAGAGGCCAGGGCTTGGGCAAGTAAGGGCCTGGAAGGAATAGCCTCCAGGTGACCACACAGAGCCATGCCCGAGCGCCCCCATCACCTACCTCCAGCTTCGGCCTTCACCATCCCCTTGATGTAGTTGGCCCCAAACACGGGCTGCTTGATCTCGCAGTCCTTCATCAGGTAAAAGGGCATCATGAAGGACTGCATGGCATCCTTCCCTTTGGACAGGAAGATGACCTGAGGGTCGAAGGGCGAGGGTCGAGGGTCGTCACTGCTGGCTCTAGGGTGGGGGCAGGGAGTGCACACTGCAGGGCACCAGGGCTCTCTCTGCACAACACACTCCCAGGGAAGCTTCAAGAATTTATTTTTATTGGAAAGGAAGATCAGATTTGCAGAGAGAAGGAGAGACAGAGAAGGAACCAGGGCAGTTTCTGTAGCAGATGGCTAAGGTGGGGTTTGGAGACCTGTCTCCCAAGAACAGCAAGCCCATCATGGGCAGGGCACACAGGACACACCACTGTCCTTCAAATGGGACAGGCAAGGAGGGGCAGGTGCGTATCACAGCAGATGTCACCAGAGGGCCTGGCGCAACGGCTCAATGGTTAAATCCACGCCTTGCAAGTGCAGGGATCCCATATGGACACCTGTTTATGTCCTGGCTGCTCCACTTCCCATCCAGCTCCCTGCTTGTGGCCTGGGAAAACAGTGGAGGACGGCCCAAAGCCTTGGGATCCTGCACCCATGTGGGAGACCCAGAAGAGGCTCCAGGCTCTGGATGGACCAACTCAACTTTGGCTATTGCAGCCATTTGGGGGGGATGGAAGATTTTTTTCTTTCTCTATAACCTTGCCTTTTAAATAAAAATAAGACCTTTAAAGACTAGGCTCTGCTCAAAACTACAGCTTCTGCTCACCTGCACCTGACAACCCACGCGAGAGACCCAAGTGAGTTCCCAGCTCACAGATTCCCAGTGGTTCAACCCCACTGCTGTGGACACGAGGAGCACAGCACAGACCGGCAAGCACTCACTCAGTCTCTCTCCTTCCCACAAATAAAAGCAATTAAAGGGTTGGAGGGTATACTGCTAGAGGGGAGGGGCAGGAGCCCCAAGAAGAGCCCTGGGCCTCAGCCAGTAGATCAGGGCCACAGGGGCTCCGAGATGAGGAGATGCAGCTGCTGAGCCGCCAGGGCCTCCCTGTGAACACTGCGGCCCATGCAGCCATGGGGCCCTGCTGGCCTGTGCACACATGCAGAACCTCCTGGAGCTCATACCAAATACTCTGGCCTCCACACATGGGGTCTCAAGCCTCCCCTGGCTCTGCCAAGCCAGGGGCAATTACAGCCCCAACACCCAGGGCAGGTGCTGTGGGTCGGGCCGCTACTTAGGAACATGGCCCACTCTCCGGATTAGAGCCCTGGTTCCAGGCTCCGCTGTCTGGCTTCTGGTGCCGCTGCCCACTGAGGCCTCCTGGGAGCCAGCAGGTATGGTGGAAGTGCCTGGGCCCCTGCCACACACGTGTGAGTTCCACCTGACCTGGTCCTACTATCGAAGAGCGAGGCAGCAAATGGAAGACCTCTCTCTTCATGCATGTGGGCTCTGCTTTTTAAGTGGATGAAAATGAACAATAAAAAGTAAATAACAGGGCCTGGCGGCGTGGCCTAGCAACTAAAGTCCTCGCCTTGAACACGCCGTGATCCCATTTGGGCGCTGGTTCTAATCTCAGCGGTCCTGCTTTCCATCCAGCTCCCTGCTTATGACCTGGGAAAGCAGTCGAGGACGGCCCAAAGCCTTGGGACCCTGCACCCGTGTGGGAGACCCAGAAGAGCTCCTGGCTCCTGGCTTCAGATTGGCTCAGCTCCAGCCATTGCAGTCACTTGGAGAGTGAACCATCAAACAGAAGATCTTCCTCTTTGTCTCTCCTCCTCTGTACATCCGCCATTCCAATAAAAATAAGTAAATCTTAAAAAAGTAAATAATAAATAACTAAGCCCCCTGGCTCTGCAGTTCATGGCTGTCCTTCCATCTCAGCCTCGCAGAGCTCCCCTGACAGCTCCGAGTCCACGTGGCTGATGCGGTGGCTGGGCCCACTCTGCCATCTGGCACGCTCACCCTGCAGCCCTGTTGGCTCTCTGCCCAGCCTGGAGGCTGGGCCACACACTGCATCCTGTTTACTGCATGCAGCGCCAAAGCTGTGTACAGAGGCCTCTCCGGCTACTCTCCCAGCACCCTGCCCCCGGCAGTGCCCCAGCACCATGTCTGACTTGGGGAGGCTGCAGGGGCAGCACGGAATCACAGCCTGGTTGCCCACTAGGCTGCTAGGAGCATGTGACAAAGGACAGGTGCTGTCAGGAGCTGGCTTTGCACAGGACCCAGAGGCCACTCCGCTCAGGGGGCCTCGGCTAATCCATGACCAGGACAAGAGCTGCCCACCACTGAGCCCCAGACCAACTGTCCCGCTGCCCAACTCACCCGGTAGGGGGTAAGATAGATGGTGCCCTTCTTGGTGCCTTTGAAAGCCTCGGGCATGTTCTTCATGTCGAATGTAAGCTCCACATGATCAAAGGACATGAGGATGCTGTGGTGAGACAAGAGGCCCAAATGAGACAGGGTGGAGCTGGGGTCCTTCACCCCAACACAGCAGGCCCGCCTCACCTGTAGGGCCTGGCACACCGTCCCCACTGTCCTTTCAGCAACACAAACCCACAGCCAAGCAAGGTGGGGCCCAACTCTGCTCTTGGGCTCCCGCTCACACAGCCTTGGACTGGGTCACTTCATTTGGGTTCTTGTTCTACGCAAAGTCCTTTGCGGGTCAGTCTCGTGTTGTCGGCTTGTAATCTAAGTCGACAGACAGATGCTTGTAGGGTTAGTCTTGGGCATGAATGCCCACAGCACGAGGGGTCCGTCTGGAGGACCGCTGCCTGCGAAGCCCTCAGGACTGTCCTGCGAGCGGGGTGTTTGGAAGGATCCCATGGCTCTCCGCACTCAGAGGCCTTCATCCCCTCAAGGGTCAAACCCAAAACATTTAACCAGCATGAATTATTTATTTATTTTTTTCCCCAGAAATGAGCCTCCTGGGGTGAGCTTTAAGTGTGGTGGTTAAGACGTGGCTTAGAACACCTGCAGGCCACATGGGACAGCCAGCATTCACCTCCTGGTTCCAGGGCACCCTGGGCAGCAGCCGGGATGGCTCCAGTGACTGGAGGGACCTAGACGGAATCCTGGGCTCCTGGCTTCAGTCTGACCCAGCACTGGCCACTGTGGATATCTGGGGCTGGCCAGAGGTGGGACACAGCAGAGGGTGGGAGTTCCTTGTCTCCCAAAGCCGAGCAGCAGACACAGCCTTCTGCAGTCTGGGGCCTGTGCAGGTGCGAGGCCCCGCAGCACAGCCACACTCTTGTCCCAGAAAAACACATCTTTAAGCTCCAATTTAGGGGGAAAAAAAATCCCAAGAGACAGGCCAAGTACACACCCGAAGTGTTTGCCTAAGCTCAGGAGACACAGACAAAACAAACCTGTTTGCCAAGTGAGGCTACTCTGATTACTGGATTTAACAAAAGGGTCCAAGTCCTCACAGCTGCGTGTGCCTTTCTCCCCTTACCTTGTCCCCACTCCAAATAGAACAACCTTCCTGACCCAGGGAAGGGCCAGTGGGAAGAACTGGGCCAGCCCAGGGAGCAGCTCAGAGCAAAGCAGTGACCGCCAGGCACTGAGCCCTAAGATGCAGGGAAAGCCGGCCCACTGATGCCAGATTATCCCGGCAGGCTGGGTGGTGGCCTGGGACAGGCACAAGGCCCTTCTGGGGACGTCCCCCCTTCTGCCTACAGGAGGAAACAGGGTCAGCCCAGTCCACCCAGCACTGGCTGGTGCAATGCTTTGGGCCAAAGAGACATCCAGGAGCCCAGAGGTGGGAATAGAGAAGGCAGCGGATCCCAGCGAGGGCCCAGGAGCAGCATGAGGCTTCTCTGGGCTGTCAGTCTGGCGCCTGCTGGCAGAGCCCAGGCCAACGGGGCACTCGGGACCAAAAGGCACGGGGGTGGAGGAGGGGTGCTCGCTGTAGGTGCCAAACTTGACCTCTGGCCCTCAACTCCTTCCTTTCCTGGAGCCATAGCTTCTGGGATACGATGCAAGTTTGATTGCTGGAAGGGAAGCCCTGGAGCTCAGAGGCGAGACAGCTTCCCTGAGACGCCCACATCTGATCACCCATCCTCTGTGCGCCCCCATCCTGCCTGCCTGGAAAACCTGGGTAGTAACAGCTTCCTCGCACAAGACTCCACCCTAAGAAGTTAGAAAAGGCCCAGCGCCGGACGCGTAGTAAAGGTTCCATACACTACAATTACTTTTGCTTCAGGCTCCTCCCAGCTCTGGGGGTGGGGTCAGCCCCCCTAGGCCGCCAGCGGTCGCCCCGAGCCCGTCACGACCCCACAACTCCGCCCCAAGGCCCCCACCGCCGCGGCCCCGCCTCCAGCCGTTACCCCACTCGGCACCCCCATCCAGTCTCTTCCCGTTTCTCCGCCGCCTCCCCCTGCCCACCTTCACCTCCCACCCCCTCGACCCCCGGCCCTCATCCCCCCAGGCTCCCTCCGCAGAGTTTCCACCTCTCCGTGTTGTTGACGATCACTCCGCCGCCCTCCGAATGATTCTTGTTGAGCGCCATAGTCTCTCCCGAGACGGGGGTCCCGAGGCTCAGAAGGCACTACGCTTGCGCCCGTCTTCGGCCCGCCCCGAGTGGCGTCGTTCTTATTAGAGCCAGCCAATCACAGCTCCCGCCGGAGGCGGGGCCGACACGTGATTGCCGGGTGTCACGTGGTAATAGTTTACTCCCTCCGTCGACTCCTCCCGGTTCCGCTTGCGTCACAAACAAGTTGAAGACTACAATTCCCAGGAGGCCATGCTCCCCTCCGCCCCGGGCTCTCTCTACGCTACTGGAAGAACTGCATTCTACAAATGCATTCTGGAACCTGTAGTCTCTCGGGGCTTGACGCTTCTGGCTTTGGTAAACAATCGGCTCGCGAGCGTCCCCGACGGCTAGGAAGTAACAGTCTATCCTCTCTTCATGGGGATTGGTCCTGAAGGCCAGGGACGCGTATTCATAGTCCATACTGACAGACTGTGGAGTCGACATTCCCGCCACAGCTGTTCTCAGGGCCGCGGTGCTGGGCTAGGCCGGGTCAGGTAGAAAACACAACCGCCCCTTTAAGCAAGTCAGCCCGGACGCTCCGAGGTGGGTGGGCTGTGAGGCTTGTGCCCCTCGCGCCCGCATTCCCTGAGCGAGGAAAGGGAAGGTTCCCTCGCCGCCGTCTAGCCACAGCTTGGCCTCGCGGTGGCGCTGTTCGCTCTAGAATGTTCTGGTTTTGCAGTCCGGCTGATCCCGGCCGCTGACAGGAAAATTTAAACAAGTTTCGGAATAACTGAAAGCAGGCGCGGTACTAGCCCGGCAGCCAGACACCCTGGCTTACCATCGAGCTGACTCATGCAAGCTCGTGATTCACCAAGGCCGAGTGTCCGGCCTCGCTGTCCGCTGACCCAGGGTGGATTGTGGTGAATTTTTAATCTCACGGGTTCAGAGCTTGTTTGTAAGCAGGCGACGATGCGTTCCTATGTGAAGAGCCAGAGACTTCGGCCCTGGGAAAGAGCCGGAAACACAGCAGCCTCAGGCGAGACCCGCCAGGCTGCACCTTGTGGTGCATGGCCACCATGGTTTCTGCTCCCGGCTTTGTCACGTACCATCTATACAGCCTTTAAAAAACAACTCAGGGCCCGGCGCCATGGCCTAGCAGCTAAAGTCCTCGCCTTGAACGCGCCAGGATCCCATATGGGCACCGGGCGCCGATTCTAATTCCGGCAGCTCCACTTCCCATCCAGCTCCCTGCTTGTGGCCTGGGAAAGCAGTGGAGGACGGCCCAAAGCCTTCACCAGCACTGGCCGATGTGCTCACTTGGGAAGTGACTCATCGGACAGAAGATCTTCCTCTGTCTCTCCTCTTCTCTGTATATCTCTGACTGCAATAAAAATAAAATAAATCTTAAAAAGAAAAAAAAAAACTCAGCTTCTGTGTGTTCATAGGAAAAGATTGCCAAGGCTTGTTATCTGAAAGATGGAATATCAATATACTTTCATTAAATATGTATATGTAATGTATATGTATATATAACATGTATAGGGGGACAGTGCTGTGGTAAAAGCAGGATAAGCCGTTGCTGTAGTGCCAACGTCCTACTAGGGTACCAGTTTTGGTCCTCGCTGTTCCACTTTGGATCCAGCTCCCTGCTAGTGCGCCTGGAAGGCAGGGGATGATGGTCCAAGAACATGACCCTCCATCACCCATGTGGGCAACCAGAATGGAATGCCTGACTCCGGCATTCCCAGCCCTGGCTTTGTTTGTCAGCTCTGGCCATTACAGCCTTTGGGAAAGTAAACCAGTAGATGGAGGATCCAGCTCTCTGTCTCTGCTCTCTTTGTAACTCTGCCTTTCAAATTTAAACAAACGAATAAATCTTTTAAAAATAGATTTAAAACAAGCAGCCTGGTACAATGGCTCAAGTGCCTAATCCTCCCCTTGCAAGAACCAGGATCCTAAGTGAGTGGTGTTTTGGGTCCTGGCTGCGCCGCTTCCCATCCAGCTCCCTGCTTGTGGCCTGGGAAAGCAGTTAAGAACGGCCCAAAGCCTTGGGATCCTGCATCCACGTGGGAGGCCCAGAAGAGGCTCCTGGCTTCGGATCTGCTCAGCTCTGGCTGTTGCGGCCACTTGGGGAGTGAATCAGAGGATGGAAGATCCTTGTCTCTTCTCCTCTCTGTAAATCTGTCTTTGCAACAAAAAAATAAATCTTTGGAAAAATTTTGTGAGACAGCAAAAGTTAAAAATTAGCTGCAGAGTGGTGAAAGAAGAGCAGAAATCCTGTTGTAGGCCTGAGCATTTTTTCTGACAGGAGGAAAATTGCCCTGGAGACAGTGTTGGGTCAGAAAAAGCCAGAGGACACAGCTTTGCGGACTTTTCCCAGTGCCTCACAAGGATTGGGAGATCTCAGAGCAGGCAGCCTGTTTCCCAGCCTGGGTGCTTCAATGAACTTGCATCTTCCACCGCTCCCCCCACCCCCAGTCCTGCTTATCTCTCCGTTGAGGGAGGGCCCACGACCCACCTTCACTCTGCAGCACAAATGGGAGTTGAGTGTAGTGGATTCTGGCCTGCCTGTTTTGCAAGCCTTATCTGCAGCTGAGGGAAATGGTCTTCGCTTCTATTATAACTTTGTCCATGTACCCTCATGAGAGAACCCTCAGGAGAGACCCAGAAAAAGCTCTTGACTTCAGATTACCTCAGCTCCAGCCGTTTGATCACGTGGGGAGTGAATCAACACATGAAAGATCTTTAGTACTCCTCTCTGTAAATCTTTTTTTAAATTATTTTTATTGGAAATTTAGATATATAGAGAAAGGAAGAGACAGAGAGGAAGATTTTCTGTTGACTGAATCACTCCCCAAGCTGCTGCAAAGCCTGGAGCTGAGCCCATCTGAAGCCAAGAGCCAGAAGCTTCTTCTGGGTCTCCCATGCAGGATCCCATGGGATTCTGGCACTTGAAGAAGGAGGATTAGTCAATTGAGTTAATGTGTTGAGCCCAAGCTAAAGATTATAACATCAGCTTAGTTCAAAGCCATTAGCAATGCTTAAAAAACAAAAAACAAACAAACAAAAAACCCTCCATCCAGAAACCCACATGAGCATGCATCCCTCTCAATTATGTAAACAATGTTAAAAATGAAATAAAATGTTTTTATTTTAAAAAATACAGTGAAGGGCCCAACGTGGTAGCCAGTGGCTAAGGTCCTCACCTTGGACACAACAGGATGCCATATGGGTATGGGTACTGGATCTAATCCTGGTGGTCCTGCTTCCCAACCAGCTCCCTGCCTGTGGCCTGGTAAAGCAAAGGAGAATGGCTCAAAGCCTATGGTGCTACCAGGGTTAGAACCAGTGCCCACATGGGATCCCTGCGAGTTCAAAGTGAGGACCTTAACCACTAGGCCACAGTGCCAGGTCCAATAAATAAATGATTCTTTTTTTTTTTTTAAGATTTGTTTATTTTTATTGCAAAGCCAGATATACAGAGAGCAAGAGAGACAGAGAGGAAGATCTTCTGTCCGATGATTCACTCCCCAAGTAAGCGCAACGGCCGATGCTATGCCGGTCCGAAACCAGGAGCCTCTTCCGGGTCTCCCATGCTGGTGCAGGGTCCCAAAGCTTTGGGCCATCCTCGACTGCTTTCCCAGGCCACAGGTAGGGAGCTGGATGAGAAGCGGGGCTGCCGGGATTAGAACCGGCGCCCATATGGGATGCCGGGGTGTGCAAGGCGAGGACCTTAACCACTTGCGCCACCGCGCTGGGCCCAATAAATGAATCTGTAAAAAAAAAAAAAAAAGGAGAGAGAGAAGGAAGGCGTGGTGCAGTAGTTCAAGGGCTAAATAAAACCGAGCTATAAAAAAAAAAAAAAAAAAAAAAAAACAGGCTCCTGGTTTTAGCTTGACCCAGCCCTGGAGGTTGTGGCTGTTTTGGGAGTGAACCTGTGGATGAAAAATTTTTCTTTGTCTCTTCCTCTCTCTGTAACTCTGCCTTTCAAACCCATAACTCAATCTGAGATAGGCAGGTAGGAAGAGTGAGAGAGAGGGAGAGAGAGAGAAAGAGAGATGTCTTTATTTGGAAATAGAACTGCCAGCAGTGAGGTCATTACTGCAGGCCCTTATCCAACTCGTCGGGAGCCTTATCAGAAGGATAAGCTGGGCACTCACTATGCCAACACAAAGACTGAGATATGCAAGCCCAGGATTTCGCCAACTACTCTTGGCTACCCACCAGATGCCAGGGCGAGAGGCGTGGGACAGAGTCCTCTAAAAGCAGCTGATGCTGCTGGACACCTGGACAGCTGACTTCCAGTCTCCAACCTGAAGACTGCCCCGGGCACTCAGTAACTGCCTCAGCGGCTCCAGTTCTGATCCAGCTCCCTATTAACGCACTGGGAAAGCAGTGGAGGATGGCTCCCGTGCTCGGGCCCCTGCACCCATATGGGAGACCTGGAAGAAGCTCCTGGCTTCTGGCTTCTTTTAGTCTTTGCAGCCATTTGGGGAACGAACCAACAGATGGAAAACTTGTCTCATCTGTCTATCTGCTTTTCAAATGAAAATTAAACGAGCCATCTGCCCCAGGCGCATCTGCTGGGAGCTGGATCGGCAGCAGAGCAGCCCTGGCTGATCAGTGCTCTGACACGGCATGTTCTGACATGGGATGCCAGCACCACTAGTGGTGGCTTAGCCTGTGCACCACAATGTGGACCCTCAAAAATATTTTAAAGTAAACTAATATTTGATTTTTTTCCCCCACATAACTTGTACAAAACATTTTATTTCTTAAATTTGCAATGTAGAGATAGCACACTGCCATCTGCTGGCTCAATCCCCCCTGTGTGGCTGGCAGGGACCCAACCCTGAAGCTGTGACCTTCCATCTTCCCAGGGTAAACATGGGTAAGAAGCTGGACTCAGGAGTGGCGCTGGGGCTTGAACACACGGGGTCTGGTGCTCATCCTGTGTCTTAGCCAAGAGGCCAGGCGCAGGCCTCTCAGAGGGTCGTTTTGGCTGTGGCAATCATCTGGTTTGTGGCACTTGGTGACAAGAGCCCTGATAAACTGTGGGTTTGGAGCTGAGAGGCAATTGTTTGGTGCAACTTGCCAACCTTCCTGGACT